GATTTCCTCCTCCGTGCTTTATACTCGGCTTTGTATTCTTAATTATCAATTTTCCAATTTTCTTTCACCATTCCATTCTTCGTCCTTCTAATCCAAAAATATTGAACTTACTTTCATCGTTAAAAATAACACAGTTTCACCGCGTATCTTCTTTTAAAACAAATTGTCTCACACAATTTATATTTTTCTTTCTATTACCTTTATTTACGTATGATTAATTTTTAACAACTTGTCCGTTATAGCTACTTTTTTTTTTCATATTTTGCACATTGTTTGGGGATGCATTTTTTTGCAGTCTCTTCTAAACATTCATCAGCTAATTTTGGTGCATTTAATTAAGATCTTTCATTATTTTTTTTTATAATTTTTATTTTGTCACGAGTTTCTAAAAATTTTGGGCTGGCTTTTTTGAGGAATAGATTTAATCCGATCTTCACATTTAAATCTTTTAATAATATCTCTTACTGTACATTTTTAATGAGCTTCCGTTTCGTATTACCAAAGATAATTCGTATATGTAACTTAATATTGCTAATTGATTAGTTTGTGTTCATTCATTTTTGTTTTTCTTGAACTATCATTTCACATGTTCTCTTAAATCCATTCTTCTATTTTGAACTGTGTTGAATCGGCTGTAAAAACGAAAATAATTAGAATAACCTTCTAAAATTTTAACAATGATTTTTTGAAAGCTTACGCATTCCTGCAATCTCTCTATATACGATTTACCTTTTGCATTGTGAGAAATGACAAATTGGCGTATGTCAAACGAAGTGTATTTTTATGTTCCATTATCGCTAGGGTACACAGTGAATATCGAAATACAATCCTCTGAGGCTTGAAAAAATGTACGCAGCTCGTAATGTATTTAGGTAAACATACGTCACATTTGCAAAGTATCATAAGAACTCAAGGAAGTTACATTACAAGGTGTTCGAATATTAATGTAACTTAAAAATCAGATATTATTTCATTTAAAATATATTATATGCCTAACGTTTTATACTATATGAATAAAATTAATAAAACTTATGCTTTTGTTAATTACTTTAGTCCCGATGTAGTCATGCAATTAGGAATTAAATTTTGCTTTTCTTTATTGTGAACTAAATTACAATGGTAGGCAGTAAGAATTATAGTGTTCGAAAATTAAAATTACTCACTGTATCTTATGCTGTAACAGTATGCACGAGTCAATGCCAGCTTGTCTCAATATAAAAGGTGTTTCGTTTGAATCGGAATTGTTAAGTATATCGCGATGGAATGTAACTATCGAAGAAATGTTTTTACAAAAGTTATTTGCCTATAAGGAACAATTTATTTGAAATAAATAATTTTGTTGTAAAGAAAGTATTGGACGAGATGTGACAAACAAATTAATTTTTTTTTAACAGAAGCTTATATATTTTTATCTATAGTAAGATAGCATTTGTTTAAACAAATTCATCGACCTATCATACATGGTCATTCATTGTAATATAAAACTTTATATTCGAGGTCAAATTCAGTAGATTTAACGCAAGCCGCGTCTATCCAACAATGGTAGAACATCGAGGCTTTTTATTACAAGAAATTACCACGTATGATAAATCGATGGATAAAGTGATGAGTCGGTTAAACAAATGGTATCTAATTGTAAATAAAACCATATAATATTCATTCAAAATAATCATTTGTTTTTTAAATCTACCCCACCACCTCACTTACAATAAAAATACTTTCTCCATATAATTTGCTCCCTTGAACCATATAACTTTGTACCATGTACACCAATGTAAAAAGTTCTTTTCTAAAGTGCAGATTCCTTCTAAATAAATCGGTAGATAATGTGTTAATCGTGATTGCGTGGGGTAAATACGATCCACGCAATCTGAACGAAAAGTAACCAAAAAATTGGTCCGGCACGAAACATGATACATTATATGTAGAATAGGACTCTGCTGAAATTGGACATTGCATTCTGTTGAAGAGGTTGACAGTCATCAGGTAACGAAATGTCACTGCAAACGATGAATATCTGCGATACCCGTGGGATCACGTACACTCCGAACCGCAACACGTACCGACGCGTTTCCTGTTGATCAATAAATCAGCGTCACACGCCCTCGATAACTTTATTAATAACTTCGTCGAATGGTTAGTTATTAACGTTGCACGCTGGAAACGGCGCATGAACAAAAGAGAGTGGAAAAAAAGGGAAGTTCCACGTTCGAGGAGCTAACTTTACGATGAAACTCGACATTGACGTATTGGTAGCAATCTAATCTCGTCAATTAAGTACCGACTCGTGTGAAGATCCTAACGATACGCTGGAAACACCTCATCTAAGAAAGAATCAACGATGAACGGAGTTTATTGAAATCTGCGAAGGTTTTATCGTTATCTAAAGGGGATAAGAATGTATACAGAGTATTTATCTACAAACGGATATCCTTCGAAAGGGTAATTCTGGGTTCCAAAATGAAAAATGAAGACGAAAGTCAAGAATGATGACGTTTGAGGCTTCGTGTATCAATTATTAATTGTTGAAGATGTTGAGAAACCTGAGATTTTATTTAATTTGTTTTTTATTAGGGAACGTTAAAATTCTTGTTAGAAAAAATAGAGAAGAAGTTTATTCAACTTTCGTATATAAAATTGATTTCTCTGTATGATATGCCCAAAACATTAATTTATATAACATATTCACAAATAAGGAATATATCGGGAAGACCATTGGGGTTATTATTATCCATAGATATGGCTTAAAGTCTAATCAGGTCTTGAGATAAAAACGTAAAAAATAACTTTTGCAAAATTTTCAGTCACACAATGATTATGCCTTTTCATGCTTATTACATTTAATTTTCAATTGTATAAATGTATAAATTAATATCTTGATTTAACTTTGTTTATCACAGTTGACTTTTTGAAATTCGAATAAATTTGACATCGATTAAACAGTGCGATACATATGCACGTAAAATGTCGGTGGTTCATTTGAAATGTTAATTATAATAAAGTCGTAATTAGAGGAGAAGGTACTTATGCACTTATAACGTTTACTAATAGTATTACGGTAACACTAATTACAGTAACACTAATGGTATTATGTATAAAGATAATTGAACTTGAGATAATTAAGAAAATTTAAAGGTAAACGTTTATTTTTATAAACGAATTATAAAAATCAGTGTTAACGTCGATTGACGTGCGATCAATGTATATGTAAAGCAGTCTGTACGTAACGACCTAAACATCATTGGGCAGACAGATAACTTCGAAGAAGACGAAACAGTCGAAGTTGGAGGGACGCGAGAATTTGGCGACGTTCGATATCGTGCAGACAGGACGTTGTTCGCGCATTAATTACATCCCTTTCATGCACAGCTATGGAACTGCAGCTGGTGATACATTCAGCGCACTGTTATGGAGAATGACAAGGGCCCAGTGCAATTGGGATGCTGGCAGAGAACAGGAATCAGTGGATACTCCGTTCACTTTGGCTGGAGATTTACTTTGACGAGCTAGTACCAGCACAAATGATGTCTTGCGCGTTACTATGCTACTCGCCACTGCGCATTCCGCCATCAATTTCGCGAATGTTACGCGAACTTTAGGTTTAGAAATTAGGTTCAGCTTTAGGAAGTCCGTATTAGGTTTACGAGTTCTGCGCGATTCGTATGGAAGTAATTCTATCCCGGTTAAAATGTCTCATAAAATGCGTTTAATTAATTATGAGTTCAAAAGAGCTATAGATAATAAAGGTTTATCCTCAAAGTAAAACTATTTTACTAAAATAAGAACGCTAAGTTTGATAAATTTCTTGAATAGAGATATGCAAATAATTTTAAGTAAATTTTGTCTTGCGCATTATGTGCTTCCTATAGGCAATACTATTTTTAAGAAGGTGTTAAAACCTATCATATGTTAGGTCTAGGTTGTCAATATTACATTCTGTCCGACTTTTATGAAAGTAATTTTATCCCGGTTAAAATGTCCTGTCAGAGACGTTTAATTAATTGTGAGATGAAAGAGCTAAACAAGTGAAGATTAATTATCGGTAAAATAATTCGGTGGTAAATAAAATCATGATATAAAAACTATATGAATTGATCCTAAAAAATGCGAACCTTGATAAAGTTGTTAAACAAAGATTTGCTAATATTTTTATATAAATTTGGTCTTGCCTGTTGTGTTTCTCCTGTAGGCAATACTATTTTTGAAAAGACCTAATAGGTTATCAAATGTAATAAACACGACACGTATTCCAAAAAGTTATGCAGTCTGTCACAAAATGATTAAACGTTCTAAACTGTGAAATCTCAGTTTTTTTAATTCTTCTAAAATTCCACTTGAACAGCATAAGAAATTTTATGGATCTAATTATAAGAATTTCTTAAGAATTCAAATATAAACTGAAACATTAGTTTAACCTTTTCAGGGACGATGTTTTTTGTTATTATCAAATTATTGTTCTTTTTATTATTGACAGTAATTATAATTATAAAAAACTAGTCGTTCACATATGTGGCCAAGGGCGTAAAGAGGTTAAAATAAAGAAGGTATATTGATTCATCTAGAGACGCGGTAGTGTCTCGGCGCCAAGTACACGAAAAATTATCCGTCACCGCATATATATACCTGGCATTGGAGCTAACACGTATCTTTTACAGGAGAGATGGTCCATTCCAACCTAACCTGAAACTTCTTTCATGTATATCTCACCACGCCTGCAATATTTTCTAAATTTAAAGGCATTTTTCTGATGTAAACCGCATATAAGCTTTCGAATAAAACCAAAATCAATAAAATTGGTCCACGTACAACTAAGATATCGTAATATCATATCATGAATCTGTCAGAAACGGTATTTTTCGTATGATTTTCCCGTTGTCAACCCTTAGCCAATAGAAGCTAACCAAAAGCCGAGTGTCGTTCGTCGACTTTCGGAATCATTCGGTTCGGCATGGCTCGTCGGCCATCGAGCGTTGAGAGTCGAAACAGATGTCATCATTCATAACCTGCCAAGTGTCAAAAGTTTTTACACTATTGCATTATTAATTATATTTATATCAGCAAATTTAGACTTTTTATGTAGGGTTTAATAACAAATTGCAGCCAGTGTTGTAAAGTGTTGATCGATCTTGACTACAAGGTAAGTTGTCAAAATCTGAATTGCGAAATACCTTTATTTATACAGAAAACTGTTTTTAATATAGATCCATACCACCAATGTGTTTTGAATTTAAGCTTTTTATGCAGAGCTTATACAAATAAAAGGAACCACAGGCTTGGAGGTTATTCGTTAACAAATTGCAGCAACTGTTGGAAAATGTTTATCCATTTTCATTACAAGGTAAGTTGTCAAAATCTGAATTGTCAGCTACCTTCATTCATATAGAATAGATCCATACCACTAGTGTTTTTAATTTAGTTAGACTTTTTATGTAGAGCTTATAGAAATGGAGTTATTTTCTTATTTCATCATTAACATTAAAATTTCTTGCAGCAAGAAAAAAAATTGCAGGTATACATAATTATTTATAAATTGAACGAATAAGTGTTTATAATTAATAAATTATATGAAATATATATATATATTCACTTTTGTTATCCCTTCTCCCTTTATTTTACTCTATTCAATTAAAGAAACAAAGAATAATTTAGACTTCTTATGTAGAGTTTACAGAAATATCAATTTTATTTTTATAAATTTAAAATAGATTCTATGTAATAAGTTATTTGTAAAAAAAAAGTGAGATCTGATAAAAAAACTTCAAAAAAGTAAAAAAATTACGCCAAGTACATGAAAAAGTGGAGGACTCAAGGAGTTGTCATTGAAAAATAGAAGATCCCCATAAAGAACTATAAGAAAGTAGAAAAAGATGTGAAATCGAAATGAGCTGCCAGATGATTTGCCTAGATTTCCGCGGCCTGGAAGTCAAATGCTTGGCGTGGCCAGGCAAGGTCAAGGTGTCGATGAACAACAATTATTTTAAAACGCAATATAATGAAAGTGTACTGATATTGTCAGAGTTTTAAACTGACAAATTATCTGAAAGCTTGCGAGAGTAAAGATATTGGCGTCGATGAATGACCTCAGAAATATATTAAAACGCAATACAATGAAAGTGTACTCATAATATTGTCAGAGTTTTAAATTGACAAATTACCTGAAAGCCTGTAAGAGAGAAAGTGTGGGTATTGATGATCTAAGAATGCCTTGCCTGGCCACGCCAAACATTTGACTCCAGGCCGCGGAAATCTAGGAAAATCATCTGGCAGCTTATTTCGATTTCACATCTTTTTCTACTTTCTTGTAGTTTTTTATAGGGATCTTCTATTTTTCAATGATAACTCCTTGAGTCCTTCACTTTTTCATGTACTTGACGTAATTTTTTTACTTTTTTGAAGTACTCTATACCCTTATTTTGTAGTATGAACAAGGAGTAATAACAGAATTTTCTGTTATCGTACAAACATATATCAAAAGAATATGTCGCCAGCTATGACATTCACCTTATATAGTTAACTTCTGTTGGTTTTGTACCACGAAAGAAGAACGTAGAGTGGAACTTCAATGAATGCGACCTCGATACTTGAACGTGAATCTGATCCCTTGCCATTGTGCTGACAAGTGGAAACGATGGTCACTTAGCAACAAGTATCGCGTCTTTCGATCAAACAAAAGCATATCGTTTGTATCGACTACTTCAGACTGTTACAGGTCAAGCATGGTGTACAGATATTTGGGACACATGTACTGTGAGTGAGTGAGTTTTATTTATAAGTATACGAAGTTGTTGAAACTTTACTATAACACATAATGTACAAAAAGGAAAAGTAAGCATTGGAACTCGGTTTTACCACATTAATTTATGTGTCGAGATAATGTTTTTAGTCACAGTGTTGAATCACAGTGAAATTAAAAGTTTCATTTAAGTACATTTTAAAAAGCTTTGTGAACCTAGCGACATTCAGAAAATTAACTTTTTTTTTATATAAAATAGTAGTATTTCGTTTGTAGTTAATTGTATTAACAACAGTTTCTTTTTTAGTTTTTTTCAATTATTAAATAAAAAGAATTGAGAAAATAACCCGCACCTGACTTCAAGATATCTCAAATCTGTTTCTTCCACGTGATTCAGAATCGTTTGTAGTTGTTCAGAGTGATTTTCGTTTCGTTTGAAGTTGTTCAGAGTGATTTTCGTTTCGTTTGAAGTTGAATAGATTAACAATTATAAACAATTTTTTAACCTCCCAAGAGCTAACTTCGTTAATTTTTAATATTTTTTAAATCCGCTTTTTCGATGTGATTCAGAATGGTTTGAAGTTGATTTTCTTTTCGTTTGTACTAGAATGCTTTAGAAGTTATAACATTTGTTTAACCGTTCAAGAATGAACTTTGTGAATTTTCAATGCTTTTAAATCCCTCGTTAGGGAAATCACTACAAACAACTACAAACGATTCTGAATCACGTGGGAAAAAACAGATTTGAGATGTCTCGAAGTCGGGTGCGCGTCATTTTCTCAATTTTTTTTATTTAATAATTGAAAAAACTAAAAAAGAAACTGTTGTTACTACAATCAACTACAAACGAAATATTATCTAATACTATTTTGTATAAAAGAATGGTAACTTTCTGAAAATCGGGTGCCACGTTCACATAGTCATTTTAAGATACTATATTCTTTCCGTACTTACATACGGATATTTACACTGAACGTACCAAACGGTGTCAAATGACACTTTTCAAAATTTACTTTGAAATCGTTCATTCATTGTTATTTCTTTCGCTCATCCGACTTTCTGTAAATTTATATATTATCTGGTTATCCGGTGTATATAATTTATAATACTTTGCAGTCAGATGACTGAAGAGAGTGGGAGTGTGTATGCATCGAGACGTGATGAGAATAAACCTGTCGCATGACACTACCATTTTATGTCATTAACATACTACTTTATTTATATTCATTATTTGATATTCTATGTAAATAAATACGATGCATATATTTATATCTTTTGATTAAAACATTTGATCGAAAAAAGCACTATTTTGAACAATTTTTTCACTTAAATCGCTCTTTTCTCAAATTTCTTAAATGGTAGACAAATTTCGCGACCAGATTTGAATTTGGATTGTAAAAATCTATAAAAAAAAAAATTCTACAATTTATAGTAAGTGAGAAACTAAAATTTTGTTGAAAAAGTCCAAGTTCAACTTACATTTTAAAGGTCAATCATTATCCGTATCACTTTCTCTATATTTTTCTCTTAATCTATGAAGTTTCAGCTTTAATTTCATACAAGAATCATCGCTCTATCTCATTTCGTTCAAGAGTTCTACGATTTTGACATAGATTTGGTCGATTTTGCCCGCTGTAGGCCGTACGCACGATCCTTTGATCATGGACCGACAGCAGTCGAAAAGCGTTCGTCAGCGCACAGGCCGTGAGCGATAGCCAGAAGTGAGGGTCAAACCGTTCGTGCGTCGAAAAATGCTCTCGTGAATACGTACCTTTAGGTATAGCAACAGTCTGATGGGACCCACTGGCTCGAGAACCTCGAGGTTGCTAAACCCATAATGTAGCTGGGTTCCATGGAAATGACCGACACAAATTTCGCCGACTAAATTTGATCGATACTAGTTATGACCGACGCTATTTTTGATCGACACCAATATTGACCACGATATACAGTCTCTGCATGGACAAATACATATATTATTTATTCTAATATCGTAAAGAGGTAAAGTTTGTTAATTTGTTTATTTGTATGTAGGGGTAATCTCCGATAATATTGAACCAATTTCAAAATTTTTTTCAGTAATAGAACATAACTACACTATGATTTCACTTAAAAATCCTTTCACAAAATTTATATAGCAGCTTAATTCTTAATCCTTATTCCTAGACTTCTGAACTTATTTTTTCGTTATTTCAAACACTTAGAAGAAATATGAAAGAAATGAAGACTTGGACAGAGGCGCGAATTGAACGGTCATCCGTGCGAACCAATCAGAGGATGGGTAGAGGCAATTTGGCGTCGTACAAACCTGTCGAATTACGGCAAATACACACATCTTTATGTATTCGTATCTTTTAAACTGTTTGTTTCCTAAACTAAAGATATAAATATTTGAGAATATATTTAAAAAATATTGGCTTGGCCTGATCTTTTTTTGTGGTCACTATTGTTTTTAAAATGCCTAATAGGGCCTATATAAATGTCAAATGTGATGATCTTACCTTTATATGTATGTAGCCTAGTATACTAATAGAAATTATTGCTTTTCATAAGATTAGCAACAAAAGAATTTTACATCAGCATTCTTTCTATTTTATTTGGTGGGGTAATTTTAATCACCTAATACAATGCATTGTTGGGATAGTATTTCAGTAGAGATACATATCTGTCGGTAATTACTCCTGACAGCCATAACACTGTTTAATTACTGGCAATATATCAGGTTTGTCATTACCCAAACAGTACTACAATGTTCACCGCGATAATTCTGATCAGTCACTTAAAACGTTTTCAAAGTCTAACATTTTCTGCTTATAGTGTAATCCACATTCACGATAACAATGAAATCAGTTTTTTTTTTCATGGGATTAGCAGTTCAAAATTTAATTTCAATTTTTAATAAGTAGTCAATATTTAAACTTATCGTAATATTATTAACACAATCGCGACCGGCAGATATTTTACGTTTCTAATACCGAGTACTGACGAAAATAAAATTCTGAAGCTGAAAATCGCAAATTTGTATCGTTAGAGCGAAGATAAAAATAACAAAATATGTTTTGAAATATCGATATTGTAAATATGTAGTGTATAAAATAAAAAGATTTTCATAACCAGAAATAGAATTTGAAGTGATGTGAATTCATATCAGCAATCGCGAATGTGTTAACACTATGCTGTCCGCAGATCAAATTAAGATTTTTTCGTTTGGCGCCTGTAGAACTGACACCACAATGGTGCCACCGGACGACATAGTGTTAACATTCGACTATGTGTATTATATTACAAATTATAATTACAAACACGAATGATACTTTATCGAGCGATACAGTCATTTTCCTAGAAATAGACGATTCCATTATTCTAAGAAGCTTACAACAACTTGAATCATTATTAAAACACGTAATGCAGTTCCCCAGAGAGTCTATCGATTTTTTCCACATCAGAGATCCCAACGTCAGCTTCTTGAACGCTTTGAAATGATTGTAAATACTTTCCCGTGGCCGTCGTCTCGATAATTCAAACAACTTTGCATCTTCTTCGTGTACGCACCTCGCAGCATTCTTTTGTTCGCTTATATTTATGTTAAGCATAAAGTAAAGGTAACATTCTTTTTCTCTGAACATCAACCTTTCATCCTGCTTGATTCGACTTTTCTGTGGGATATTATTTTATTTATCTTATTTTCATTTGGCGAATAAAATTAATAAATATACAAAGGTATCAAAACTCAATAAAGTACAAAAATAACTGGCTCACCCATTGAAGTATAATATGAGTATCAAAAAAGTTCACT